GGAGTAACAAACTCAACACATTTCTCTCAAACACAGACATGACATAAACACACCAGAGATGCAGTTGTCTGCTGTTCTGTGTTCATTTTCCTTGATGGTTTCCAGTCGACACAAGGTTTCACTGCTTCCATGTTTCTATATAGATACAGGGAGTAAAAGTAGGTCACCCCTGCGGAGAGGGGAGCGCAGGGTGAGGTGATTTGTAATGAATGATCTTAAGACAGACAGAATCCCCACAAGTCCCATCAGATTCATACATCAGATACTACTTCGATTTATTGTCACTACCTGGTTATCTTTCACTCGCTCTCTTTCCTATATTTCAACTTCTGTGCTATTTCATGTTCATGTCTGTCTTAGATTCTCACTTTTACGCATGTGATTTTCTTTTCATTCATATTTGTATGAGCCTTGTTGGAGGGAGCCTGAGAACAAAGAATTCCATTGCCAGTGTCTGTGTCACTGGAAGTGCTGGGCACATGACAAATAAAGAATAAAGAACTTTGAATTCAAACCTCAGCCGGAGGTCAGCCTTGTGGTGTACTTGATTTTTGTCAACATGTATGCATAGACACACAACTGCAACATCAGTAGCATTGCTCCCAAAGGGGGACCGAGCTAGCTCCATTGCGTGTGATAACCTTGAACGTAAACAGAAGTGACGCACAACGGTGCTTAGCGTGCCTTTAATACTGAATTAAAGCCAAGTCCTTTCGAGTCTTCTGTCTCAAGTCTCAAGTCATGAATACAAAGTCAAAGTCAAGTCGAGTCTTTTATCAACGTTAGTCAAGCAAGTCTCAAGTCATCATATTTGCGACTCAAGTCTGACTCGAGTTAAGTCATGTGACTCGAGTCCCCCATCTCTGCTAGTTACCCTGTTAAAAATTGTTATAAGTAATGAAACTATTATAATTAGCCTACTTAATCAAAGCAATGTAACTTATTATATTTGATTACTTTTTGATTACTTTTCTAATAAATGCTTGGAACTGGGCAATAAAGCTGAAAAATGTCTATAGATATGTTATGCCAAAAGTCATTTTTGCATGGCAAAAACATACAAAGCTACACAATGAATTTTTTCTCGTAACTGTAACTGATTACAGTTACATTTATTTTGTAATTTCATATCATAACTGGTTACATGTTACTACTTACCCCCCAACACTGTTTACCACTTTACAATGTCGCCAGACAGCTCTTAGGACAGGGAGCTGCGGCTGTTATCTCAAAACCACCAGACTCCTTTGACCAAAACAGCAATTTGGTCAGGAGCACTTTAGTCAAAGAAAACTCTATTTCCAATTTCTTTATTTTGATTGGGCTGTTGTAGCTGGGATGTGAGCTGAGTCCTGCCAGAACTAATGCTCTGCTCAAGTTTTACTCTGTGCAACACAAAAGTTGCTGGTCTACCGCTGCCTCGATTAAGGTTAAGTGGTAAAAATATTTCAAATGCAGCATACACCTGAGGTGATCATAATTATTTCAGGTGGGTCTTTTAAAATACATTTTGCTGTGGCCCCATCAACAGCGGTACACTTTTTAGCTTCTGTGCCAGCAGATTGGGTTTATCAAAGACAAGAGCAAATCAACACAGTACAAAAAATAAGCACAGCGGAAACATCAGATAGGTCAGACCACCGTGATTAAGTATATATCTAAACATTACAGTTACAGCTGAACATGACAACAGAAATAAATGATTTTTACCAATTTCACATATCTTTGCAAATCAAATTAACTGTCAGTTATCTATACAGAGGTGATTATTCACATTTGTATCCACAGAACTGTCCACTGATCTTGTTTTTGTCAGCTGTAATTAATTATGCAGATTCAGCATTGCATTGATTCCAAGCCCTTACTGGCAGAAATCTTTTCATTTTAATCCAAACTACAATATTTTCCCTTAGCCTAACCAAGAAAAGGCTTTCTGACAAAAACCACTGCAGGCAAACTTCTCCCAACAGCAGTCAGAGATTCAGGTGTGTTATATTACTACAGGCTAATGTAGTCTCGAGCCTCTAGCCTTCAGCAGAGTTGAGCAGCAGGATACAGAGGTCTGGTAAGATTACTTTCTTTCTAACCCCACACAGGTTTTTTGTTTGTTTGTTTGTTTGTTTGGTTGGTTGGTTGGTTGGTTGGTTGGTTGTTTGTTTTCATTTTTAAACATGTACTTTTCAACCTTGAGACATCATACAGCTGCTTCTGGAGACACTACAGGGATTCATGCAGCTTTTTTCCACATATGCATCAGTACTCCACAACACCTGTAAGCAGACTCTGACGTGTAAATCATTAGAGTTCCCCTTTAACAGCAGCCCAGTCCAGATTACTCCTGTCTGTTAACTGAGACAAATACAGTCTGACTATCATCTGCAAGGTCCATATTATCATTAGATTTTAGTATTATGTATTTATATCAGTCTATATGCTGGTCAATAACTAACAATATTTTTTCAGTACAGGAATGCAAAAGATTAGCCTGCTTATTTGACTGAAACCATTTTTGTTTCACTTCTAAATCCAGTTCCTGTCAGCAGTTTCATATTTCTTTTAAGAGGGTTTATTTTGGCCAAACCAATCAGTAACAAGCGACTTCCCGCCAGCGTTATTTTCAGTTGACAGGAAAGCTGTGGAAATGTTTGTTTGGAGCAGTTAAGTTAACATTTTGCCGCTGATCAAAGAAATAAAAAGATTTGTGGGTTGTTTTCTCTGCAAGTCTGCTTACAACAACCTGTAAAACAGCACTGAGCTCATCCATGCTTGTTGCCATTTTTCTGGCTCTGGCACAAAAGGCTGACCTTCCCATTTGTAATCCCACCAACAAAACTCTGATGGTTCAGTTGTTTTCTCAGCTCGGGGGAGAAATTCTTCAACACAACACCAGAACTATTTGAAATGCTGAAAAAGTCAGAAATGTGGGCAGAAATTCAGAGGTCTGCAATCCATGCTTGACTTTAGATATGTCTGAGATCATTTGGAAACAGCCACCATTTCACAGTTGTTTAGCAGAGGGCACTGACAAGTTTATGTTTCAGCTGTAAAATGTCCCATGCCACATAATCACCATGATAGAGATATAGCCTAATATGTAACATTTCCATACTGAAATCTCTAAAACGATGGACCAATGTTATATATTTCATTGAGTTGTGTACTAACATTATCCCAAATGTCTCCTACAATGTTCAAACCTCTAGGAATCTGTAATTGTGTTTAAAAAAGGTGCCTTTTTATTTGGTCACCTGTCAATGGCATCACATCCTCTTAAGCCCTTCTAGTTGCTCTAACTTTAGAAGAAACACAGGAAACACTAGATGATATGTCACTGTGCATCATACGATTTCACAGAACTTTACTCAACAACAGTAATACCACATATTTTCTGCCAAAAAGCACTTTTTTCATTAACTGTATGCAATTTGCTACACAGTAATCAAGTAGAGACCTAATTCATTGATATGATATTTCAACATCAATCCAGCTTACTTCCACATATTGACTTTCTATTTTTTTTTTTTACTATTTAAAATGGCTAAAAAAAAATTCATTGTAGCGCTGCTCACAGCACAGTGATTTGAAGCTACGAGACAAGCTAAATGAGAAACTAACTTTACAACACATTCTTACTCCCCTCCAACCTTGACACATATCAACGTCTGGTTGATATATGACATGCAAAGTATCCTGGGTGTGTTGGTTGTTGACGTTCTGGAACGCCTTGTCAACTTCAGCCTGGTACATGCACTGGAAGTACTGGGTCTTCCATCTGTACAGGCAGCAACAGAAAGTTTCTAGATCTGGCGGGGAGTCACAGCAGTCTGGAATCAGCCCCTGCTCTGCGTAAGCTACCACCACAAATACAGTCTAATTCTTTGAAAGAGTGTTTAGCACACTCTTAAAGTTATTATTAGTATGACTGTTTTGGCCACGGATAACAGCGCTGGGCAACCCCATGATTGAACTAGCCAAGTATGTACAACTAGTCAACTAACCTCATGCTAATGGTAACTTAGCAATAACATTGCGGCTCTTTCATGATGATGTATGACATGATTTCTGCCTGAGTCATGTCAGATAGATTTTCATCAGCAATGGTGGTTGTTTATTAAAGAACACAACAATATCCATGATCCCACACTACTTCAAGGCTTCAACAAGTCCATCTCTTGTTTTGATTGTAAGCGTAAGGCAGAAATTAAAATTTGTGCATTTCAAAACATGTTTAGGTGATGCTTTTATACTACCAAACAAATACTGGCTGAAATATCAACATCAGACTCAGATGTGTCACATAACTGCTACTGTATAAAAAGCATTTTACCTGTCTGACTGCTGTTCATTCTACTGGTGTGAAAACTGACTCAGAAATCTGTAAAATCTGCAATAAACCCTGACTGTATCACGCTGCCTGTAACTGATCCACCAGCCCACACCTAAGGTGACTCTCAGAGCAAAGGGCAGAAGGGTTTAGTAAAGGAAACCCAGTCACGTTAACCATGGCCTTGGTTATGGTGTTGTTACACAACAGTATAACAGATCATTGATAAATAAAGAAGAAGCTGCCCCCCGGCAACCACAGTGTTAGCCTACAGTTTTGGAAATATTACAGAAAGATTACACAAGATTTCACAGGGAAGCAGCCTGAAAACAGAGGATCAGGTTACATAACCAGAAAGCTGCGATTGTCTAGTTTCATGAGAAAGTTGGTCATTTTTTGAACAGTGATGATTATCTCTGAGATAATTATAAGCCTATTGGAGGTGTCATTACACATTCTACATATATTCTTTTTTTGAGACATTTTCATATATTTCTATTACTTTTTATTCATTTGTTTTGCACACCCACACAATACAATAAATTACGTATTTAGTTAGGTTTATTTAACATATCGTTATTAATTTTATAGTTTCATTTGCTCATTGATTATTATGCAGCTACAGACGTCTTTGCCTTCTTTATACTTGTAAAGTTGAAAAGGAACATGGACCTACCGTTATATGTCACTCTGGGTTTGGTTAAGCACAAGACCAGGTGAAGATCCATCTCATCTGAGGACACAAACTTGGAGCACACAGGGCACTTGAAGCCTGGAAGAAAGAAAGGGAGCACACAAACAATGAATAAGAGGATAATACACTCAGTAGGTAGGTGGAAGGTAGAAAATGAGGGAAATGTCCTATTTCCTATCAGAGTTAAACTGAATCTCAGGCAATAAAGCGGCACACAGGGTTCTCAAGTTCTTTTCTTTTCCCTGCAGCACCATTTACTGTGGTGTTTTTGGACTGCATTTCCACTGATCGTTTGTCAGTTTGTCCAGTACTGCGAGGGTGACACTCCCAGTTCTTCTTGTATTTATTGCAAACAAAGACACATCATTATCTGTGGATTTAACCCAAGACAGCCCTGCCAGAAACAACCTTTAAAAGCAGCTAACATCCTTGTAATCAATTATTGAGTTATATCAAACAGTGATAACAAGAAAACAGACATTAATTTAGCTTAGTACATCCTTTTTTATACCTCTGCGCCGGCAATGACCATGGCTGGATGCCACACCTTGAGAGAATACCGACAAATTTAGCACAGACGTACACTCGGACTCAATGAAGAACTGATTAGCTTTTGGTTGTCAAAATCTAAGGTCACTGTGACCTTGTCTGTGTCATTCTTGTGAACACAACATCGTATGAAAACCTTGAGAATTTTTTTTTTTCAAATTTGGCACAAACATCCACTTGGACTCATGAATGAACTGATCAGAATTTGGTAGTTAAAGGTGAAAGGTCAAGGCCATTGTGACCTTGTATATGTCTAATTCTCATGAACTCAATATGTCAAGATGGCTTTGAGGGAATTTCCTCAAATTTAGCACAAACGTCCACTTGGACTCAAGAATGAACTGATTTGGTGGTCGAAGGTCAAAGGTCAAGCTGACTCTGACCCCACAGTTTTTTTTTTGTTTCTTTTTTAATGCCTAATAGCATATAAAGATGAAGTGATGACATTTTACAACCAAAAGGTCAAACACTTTTTCAATGTCATAACTCAGGAACAGAAGGGGAGACATTTAGTCAGATACTGAATTGGTGACACTAATCTTGGGTGCCCACCTTGAAACTGTGCTGATTGTATAGATTCTCTATGCTGCTGTGTTGACGATGTATGTGAAGCATACATGTTTTTACAGACATAGATGTAAACTACAAGTACAACTTGCAACTTGACTGGTGCACAGAGACATACAACCACAAAGCAGTAGTTTGTTCATATAACTGAACTAGATGGCTCTCGGCTTGTGGTGCTCAAAGTGTCGAAAGAATACATTTGAAAAACTCAGCCGCAATGTCTCGTTCCAGAAGTCACAACCCGGTTACTAAAGATAATACACAGACCTTGTTGTGAGCAGTTTCACGGAGTAACCTTTTTGCATTCTACTGAATTACACCTGCCAACCGTATCACTGCACAGAAGGAAGCATGCATCTACTCATGGATGAGAGGCTAGTGCTCATGACAGCGCGAGATGTAAACATTAAGGGCGTCTTCCTCGGCTGACCAGTAACTTTAGCTAGCTCGGTGGTGCTGTGCGCACAAGCTCAGTTGGTAGGCTTTGCTATATTTTCACATTTTTAACAATGCAATTTAAAAGTTTTGATTTTTATTGATAACCTACATTTACCAACAACAAAAAGACTACATTTAGCACCAGAAAAATATGTAAGAAAAAAAAAAAAGTAAATTAAAAACAAAAAACAAATATTGAATACCAATTTTTCATAACGAATACCTACCCATAGAAACGAATATTCGAATATCCGAATATTTGGGTACAGCCCTCATAAATAGCACTAAAGGTAAGAGGAAAAGTATGTATTTTTGATTCTGGGGTGAACTGTACCTTTAAAGAAGCATTTCATATGAATTACCAGAGGGAGCCTGTGCATAGGAATACCACCAGCGTTCACAGCTAAACAGATGTTGCTTTCTGGCTATAGGGTCTTTCACTATTACATCAATCAGTGACAGTTTGTATAAGCAGACAAATTTGAACGAAAGGTCGCTGTTGATGATCCAAACATTATCTACCCTAAATGCTTCCAGCTACAGTGCTGGTTGTAATTATCCCTTTGTTTCGATTTCCATCACAACAATGCTGTCACAATCTGAGACACGACAGCTAATCCTGCAGTTTCCACTGACATCACCGCACCTTCATAGCAACCCTCATCCATCACCCATTAGCTGTTAGCATGCAGCTCTGCAGCAGGGGGCAGAATGTCGCGCATCACTGACAGGTGACGTGTGTACTGTATGATGTGTGTGGAGCTTTCTACAATGGTAAAATCTGTCCACATGCTGCGATTCTGATGGGATAAATAGATTAGCGCAGCCAGAAGCAGGCGATCCACTGCTTGTCTGACCTATTTAAGTGAATCACAACACACACAGGATGCCATCTCTCATGATCTCCTGGCCATCTGCTGACAATTAGGAGTGTGTAGTCTAGGTGTATTTATTTGAAAGAGGAATGGTGATGAATTCCAGCTCTGCACGACTCCACAAGTCATTCCGAAAAATGCTAAAAGCCAAAGCTGAGCACACCCTGTGAAGCCATGATGACTCATCCAGTAAACTGTATGGGATGTTCACTCTAGTAAATTAAATTGATGTGTGTGTCCTACTGCATGTCTATCTGAGGTCATACCGGCTCTTGGTTGCATTAAAACTCTGGCCTCTTTCAGTATTTATCTCCTAGAATCACTCACACAGTTTGGAATGTGTAAACATAAATGAAAAAAAGAAGTATTATTTATAACCGTGGAGCAATGTATATTTTTCAGTTTCCACTTATTTTTATGGCCCAGAAGCAAACTCTGCGGCTGTGGTGGGATTCATATCCACAGTATTAATAAAAAAATAGTGAATTGAGACAACAGGGTAGCATGATCTGAGATATCTGCTGCCTTGAGGCTTAAATGTTTAAAATTGTATATTTACAAAAGGAAGGAAAGGTGGGAATGTTGATCTTGATGAGGCAAGAGAAAATCCTTTACAAGTTCTTTTCTCTTCATGCAAACAAACAAAACACACCTAATCTGATGAAGATCATCATCATCATCATCATCATTCTGCTCTGATGAAAGCATGGGGACAAAGAGACCCTTTCACTTGCTTAGAGTGAAGAGCACATCCTCTCTTACCATTTTGGGTTTCAGTAAGAAGAGGAAGAACAAAGAGGAAGAGCCAAAAGTATGACACTGTTCTCATAAGAAAAGCTCAGACGGCCAGTTTAGAAGGTTTTTGTGGTTTCATTTCAAATACTTCTTCATTTGGCAGAAAACAAGGTTAATTTCCTTTAGTTTCTGTAAACATGGGATTTTAGAGTCAACAAAATTTTGTTTAACAGCATTGATATGCAGCACATCTCATGTCCCACAGCTGTTTTGTTACACATGCAGTTTCCTTATAGTGGTGGAGAGGCTTGCGGCTTGTCATAGGCCTTACCTGCTCGGCTGGTGGAAGCTTGGTTTGGTCTCAGATAAAAGAGAGAACAATGGCCCCCACAATGGCGAATGGCTTAGCATGATCAACAACATATTTGTTGGTGATTTCTTCTACTTGCTTCCTCAATCTTGTCTTTAAATATTTCACTCTACGGTATCATTAAGGCTGAATCCTTACCATAGCGGTACATGTTCGCCCTGGGTCCTTTTCTACATGTTATCCCCTCTCTCCCCTACCTTTCCTGCCTCTCTGCCTCACTATCAAAAGAAAGCAGAAATGCCCCCCTCCCCACAAAATCTTTGATGCAGGGTGACCATTGATCCACCCAGCTCAATCTTGGAAAGGGTGCGTAAAGCATCATTGTCTGATAGAAAAGATTTGCACAAACTTTGATCTGGATTTAAGTCTAGGGAAATCTTTTGTATCAGTATTGTCTGAAAAGAAAAAATACATACATACATTCTGTTTGCTGGTGTGTTTTTGAAGAAGCTGGATGAGGAAGTGATTGGTTTAGATGTATCACAGACCAATCGTCAACAAGAGGATGCATGCAGTTGGGGTTGCTGCAGCTGTGGTTTGTCGCATTTGGAGAGACTTGTAATTGTAGAGGTTTGCTGATGTGTGTACAATATTGAGATGAAGAGCTGAGCAAGAACCATGCACTGGGTCTTTGGGCATTGGGCATGGTACTAACAATACCACCAGGTAAAAACTTAAGTTAGAGGGACTAACTAGAATTACCACCTTGTGGGTGTATGCCTTCGCCAACCAGTCACTTTGCAGTTTACATTCATGTCTGTCCAGATTCATATGTAACCATGGCAGCTGACAGTACTTCAAATATGGATGTTGCTGTGGATCCTTCACACAGAGCTTCAACCAGGCAGCACAGAAGACCTACAAAATCACCACAGTTTCAAGGTGGACACCAAAGATTACACCACCAATTCAGTATCTGACCAAATTGAAAGAAATTCCTTCAAGGCATTCCAGATATATAATATTCAAGAGAAAGAGACGGACACGGAAGTCTAATCAATTCATCCCTGAGTCCAGATGGACATTTGTGCCAAATTTGAGGTTATTTCCTCAAGGCGTTCTTGAGATATCACGTTCACGAAAATGGGATGGATGAAAGGACAACCCTAAAACATAATGCCTCCAGCAACCGCTGAGGCATAAAAAGAGCTGCCTGGCAAGTAGCATGCCTTCAGCTGATTCTCATCACTCAAGAGAACTCTCAAAGAAATGTATCCAAACCCTGATAAAAAGCCTGCTGGAAGCCAGGGATGCAAATGAGAATCTACTAGGGCCAAAAACTATGCTTGAGTCAGAATCAGTTTTATGAGAGACACCTGAAGCAAAACAAGTTCTCAGCACAATAACCAAATATCACCTTGATATCCTGGGAATAAGTGACTGTCTGTGGACTGGCTCTGACGTCAAGAAATTAGTAATGGAGCTGCTTTCCTTGGGCTCCTTTAGAGAAAAGAAAATCGAGGGGAACAGAAATGACCTGGCATACAACTGTGCCCAACTGAAGTTGGCTTGAGGCTCAACATCTTGCCAGGGATGGGGATCGA